AAAATAAGGCCGTTTTATTTATTTTTTTACCTCTCTCTTCTTCTTTTTTTCCCTTCATTTTCTTTGATTGGTAAAATTCCTTTTTTTATATGTAACTTTGATAGAAAAAAGAGGGGAGGAAGATCTACCAAAGAGGGGGTGATCGAAAGATTAAAAACAAAATATCACGGGGCCACTCCAAACAATGCGCTGAACCAATTTTCGACTCGATATTGCCCATCAGCAATTGACAGCTGAAAGAAAAGGAGGAAAGACTAAAAGTTTATTGCTTCGCCATCGAAAAGGCTTCTTAGTATTTTCAAACAAATTCCGCCCTGGGACAGGTCATTTTAGGGAGAAAATTGAGGAAAACAGCATTTTGCGGCTTTCAGGGTCAGGGTAATATGGGGTTGAAGAAGAAATGAGAAACAGGACATTTTGGAAGAGAATATGAGAGCTTTAGCTAGATTTATTACAGAAATGTAATGTTTCAAGTATTAATGTTAGCCTTATCATCTTTCATGACATGAATTGGGCATATGAACATCACTAAGCATACATTCTATACGCGAACTGTAGTCGAATTGACATTGTAAAAGTATAGATAATAATCTTCATATTGCCCAGTCTATACAGAAGATCAACCGACCAATATATTTCTATACATACGAGATAAATGTAAAACATAATACAGCACGAACAACTTTAACATTTAAACTGATTTTTGAATTTTGAATTTAAATTGAACTTTCACAAAACAGGGCCCAAACCGGTTTAGAAAAAGAACATTATGTTTTCGCTTTTTACTGAATTCCGCTTCATGGATTTAAGAGTGGGGCAGTGTAGTGCGATTCCAAACTAGCGTTCGCATATAGATCGCCTCTGTACATGAAAATATGATATCGTTTAGATTTTTAGGGCGGGCTCAGGATTCTGGAAAAGTGGTTGGCACACGCAAACAAAATTCTGACAAGAACAAATAAGAAAAGGGTTTCAACATTTTATTTTGTCCAGTCTAAAGTATGAAAGGAGCAGAATAATGTAATTCCAATTGGAAGCACTGCCACTGGTCGATTGTGCCGCCCCCCTCCCCTCCCTCTCCCCTTCCCCTCCGCCGAAGATAGCGTGAGTAATATGTGCTCAGTTTAGATGTTTATCGAGGATCAGCCAGCGTTTAATATATTGTTCCCACGGCCCGGGACCCTCCACTTTAATCCCACTCGGTATGTTTAGGCCCATATTACAATAATATTGGGAAAATGCATATTGTAACCGCCCCCGGCGCTCTGGCGGGCTAGGCGTACTTTCTCTCGACCAAACGAACGTATGAAAAACACGTCCATTAGTCACACTGGGCTATATCCTGATCGATGTGCATGGTAATAATGCATTCAATTGTATTTAAAGATAAGGTAGGTGAATTCTAGTAAAGATGAACAATTATTTATGTGGTTCCTCAGTTGTATTCCTATCTGGAAGAATATCGAGGTAGCAACGCTACATCAAAATGTTTCCTCTTGAAATGCCCTGATATTTCAAATGAGACTATAAATAGTTGAAAAATCAGGACCAAATTTTGATTCCTCATGTTTGTAAAGTCCCATATATTAATGTCTGTGTCCATTGCCTTTTCACGGCTTGTGTCATTTTCAACATTCTATTAAGCACTACACTGCTTCATTAGCAATGTTTCCTAGCCACTTCTAAACAGTTTATGTTACAATGCAATGGAATATCAAACATGTACACAGTTTGTCCCGTTATTGTATCACTCTACTAGTAGACCAATACACAACAATAAGATTTGTAAGTCTTGCCCAGAAAGAAAAATGGCCTTAAAATTCGCTCCAAGATCGTGAAGACGTTTCACATCAGTGGCGGAAATGGGCGTGGTCTTTATACCAGTAGCGGCAAACGGCATCCTTTTGAACCCCAGCGCCCCTGGTATATTACCATTGTACATTTCGTAAAGATGTATCTATTCCATAACACACTGTGTGCTTACGAGGACACTTGTATTATGCTTTATCAAAAGGGATTTGTGCACATATTTGCACTGATGGCCTACGAATGTAAACAGAAACTATACCGTGCTTGCCCGGCCTTGCATGTAAAAACAAACATATGAGACGCCAGCCTTGTTAAGAAAAGCATATTTACGGATGAACCTACGTCGAATGAATAAAGACGGATCTAAACTTCAAACGAATTACAATGTGCGATATTGTATTTTTACGGATAAAATCAAGATCTAAAGTATTCCAAAAATGCTACCGAGTCAAATTGAATAGCGTTACAAAACATGATTTATTGTTTGTGTTTACCAAATTCCAAGCCAGAACGTTTCATGTTATAAATCAATAATTCATTATTTACTCCACAAGCACATGGCCTGCAACCTTCTTATGTAAAAGAACCTGCTGATTTATTATATAATGTGAAGTGGAAAGCGCGAGATATTTAATCATTTCTATTCATGCTGTGTCTTTACTGAAAAATAACAAGGCACACAAACCTGTTAGTTTGGGTATCAAATTATATTCTCTGCCCCAATGTACCACTCCTAACAAAAAAATCCATAGAATTTCAATAGAAAGTACAAGGGTATTTGAAACTTACAACTCAAAATTAATCTTTTCAAGACATTAATCACCATGTAACCACTCTCCGCCCATAGGGAGTAAATGGGTATCTGATTGGATGGACTTCCCGGAGAGATTGAGCGCCTTATCATGGAAGCTCGTCTTAAGTCGGGTTAGTAGTATTTAGAAGTATGTATATCCTCACGAAAAGGCGCCTATTAAATCCGAATAATGTTAGGTAATGTAGTCAATTCTAGCGGAATGATCTTTATTTAGATTCTCAGACATTGAAATTGACATCATATTCTTAAAACATATTGCTTCACCTAACACAAATGACATCCAAGTTGAATGGCCGAAACATAACGAATAAAATTCTTGTCGAATAAATATTTTGTCGAATAACATTTAAAAAAAAAAGAAATTTTGTAAAATAAAATTTTTGTCGAATTAAATGTAGGCCTATGCCGAATATAAAATTGATGTCGAATAAAATTGATGGCGAATACAATTGTTGACAAATACAACAATGTGGAATACGAGGGATTGCATTAGACTGGTTTAGGGACTATCTTTTAAACAGAGTTCAACATACTTTTGTCCACGGTGTTTTGTCTTCTTCGTTAAATGTCTTTATTGGGGTACCTCAGGGATCAATACTGGGTCCCCTGCTATTTCTTTTATACATAAATGATCTTTGTAAATCATCTAACTTATTAACCTTCTATCAATTTGCTGATGACACTAGTATATTTTTTTCATCTAAAGATTTGAATAATACTGTCCGCGTTCTAAATAATGAGCTTAAGAATATATCTGACTGGTTAAAAGCAAATAAATTGTCCCTGAATGTTGACAAAACTAAATGTGTTTATTTTCGAAAAACTAAATATAATATAGGATCTAAAATTTCCAAAATTTCCGATATAGCTAGCAATAACGGTCCTTTAATTAATAACGATAATATTCCCATTTACATTAATAATAAACTTATTCAATTAAGTAATTCCGTTAACTTCTTGGGTGTCGTATTAGATAATTGCTTGGGATTTAAGGACCATATCACAAATGTTTTACATAAGATCAGCAGAAATGCTGGCTTGATAAATAAGCTAAAATATAGTTTGTTACCCGAAAATTTGATAACTTTATATCATTCCATTATTTTCCCTTACTTGAAATATTGTAATATTGTATGGGCCACTAATGCAACACAAACTGAATTAGACTCACTATTTAAAGTTCAAAAGAAATGTTTAAGAATAGCTACCAATTCTCATTATCTAGCACCATCAGCACCTTTGTTTAAGAAGCTTTCGTTATTAAATATATATGATATAAATAAGCAAGAAATCGCAACGTTCATGTACAAATATAAAAACAAGTTGTTACCTGCCCCCTTTTCAGACCTCTTTCAATATAATAGTCAAATTCATAATTATAATACACGGCTTTCCAACAAATTTCATTTATGGTCTGTTAAGTCTAGTTATGAAGCTAAATCAATGAGTTATCTAGGTCCTAAACAGTGGAATATGATTCCCCAAGTAATAACGAAATCACAATTCATATCTTCCTTTAGAAAACAATATAAAATCTTACTACTAAATAATTACTAATCAGCTCAGTTGTTGATTTTTTTTTTTCTTCTAAATTGTATATCTGAACCCTCTTTCATTGTTATCTTGTTTTCCTTTCCTTTCTTTTCCCCCTTTATATATTGTTTTTCTTCTCTCTATTTTAATTTCTCTTGTCTTATAGATAGTTGAAGTGTTTGTACTTTGCTTATTTTACTTAATTTATTGTTGTGTGCTTATAATATGTTATATTTCTTTTTGTATTTGTTTTTCATTCTTTAATGGGCGATCCAACTTCACAGGTTTTCGCAACCTTCATGGAAAGCCCCGCATATAACCTTTGTAAACATAGTTAAAATTTACTGTTACTTTGTATATTTTGATTTTTATATTGCGAAATAAAATTGAATTGAATTGAATTGAATAACTGAGAATTATTGAAAGGAATTCCGGTAAATAGGAATACCTCTACAGTGTTTGCCTACCTCTAAATAGGATAATCAACCCATGAATACAGGCTGTATATGAATAGCTTAATTCAATTTGTCAATTTTGTTAATTCAAACACCACCACCGCTACTTGTAATCATCATCTTTTCATCCACACGCGACAAGCGCTTAAGTAAATTGTGTGGACAGTTCTAATACCCGAAAGATCATCAATACAACTCAAACGGGTGTTTTACATTGTAAGGTTGGAAGTTTGTTAAATAAGATTTGTCTGGGGTGTAAAACACGGCTTTTGTCTCTCTTGTTTGAAATCAAAATGCTCATTCTTCTCTTAAGAATTTCCAATGACTTTCAACAATGTATACCCAAGCTTTGTTCCTGTCATTGATATTTAGCACAAGCGGAGGGAAGAAAGGGAAACGCGAGCGAGTTTTGTTCAGCGCTCAAAGACTGATTGTGGATACATCATTGTGTGCGTGTGTGTGGGTTTTTGTGAGCGTAAGAGGGTTTGTGGACGGGTTATTGAAGGAAAGGCTTTAATACGCCACGGTTTCGTTTCGTCTGGTTAAAGCTGTATAGCCCACCATACACCCGAGTTTGTATAGCCCGTCAATGCGGGGAGAATGCTCTATGCGGGCCCACAATACCCCCATTTTCCATGGGCTTTTATGCCGAGACCTTCCTATTGCAAAAGAGGAAAAGAACCTGTTCCTTTATGCTGTTCTATGCAAAACATTAACAAAAACCCAAACCTTGCCTTTTCTCTGGCAGGCTGTATGGGGTTAAGTAGCGTAGTTAAATGTACAGGGGTTTCATTTAGATAGAAGTAGCGGAGGTGATAAGATAAAATTACGGCGTGGGAGAGCAGAAAATGGGAGGAAAATATGGATTTTGTGCCAAAAACGGGTTTTCATTAACAACGGAAATTGAAGTTTGATGAATTAAGATGGACGATGGATGGAGTATTGTCGATTTATTTTGACATCTGGTAAGAGTACACAAATTATGTATATTAGTATATTAGAATATTAATAAAATATTGGTGATAATTCCTTTCTTACACGTTTTTCTACTTAATTAAAAACAAAGGAAAGATGAGATTAATGAGGAGAGTGGAATTTAATGTGATGGAATTTGCATCTTATGTGTCAAGTGAGAATGTGAATGTGATCGATAATGGACCTTGAGCTAGTCTTCAGGGATCTATAAACCATAAAACCGTATTTCTTTTAATCTCTTAGTATACCGCTTTGATCATAATAAAGCTAAGTTCTGGTCATGTAATTGCATTGTGAAAAGAAAATCCAGTAGTAAATAGGATAAGTTCATTAGGTAGAGCCAATTAACGATTATGTACTGCATGTATTGTGAGGTTTCAGTATCATCAAAGTTATAGCAATCGACTCAATCTTGTTGATGAATACATTCAGTTAACATGAATAAGTTTATATGGGACTACACAAACACGTGGTTCAAAAGTTTGGCCCACATTATTTTGTTAAAGTACATGTATTCCACTTTCCTTATGTCCACATGGAGTATGAGGGCATTTCGAGAAAAGTGTTATTGAGTAACATGGCTTCTATAGAAAATTCGGATACGTTGTAATAAAATTAAGAAAAGGCTTACAAATTATTTTCATCTTTATCAGAACCCAACCATTTTCTTCACTACCCGCGAAATATCTTTTTGGCGCGAGATTCAAATTTTATACCTGAGAGTCGTAGCCGTACCTAATTATAGTGTGACAAAATTGACATCAACGAAAACAGGTATTGGTCTTTCTTACATGGAAAATCATTTGACCTGATGACCCCTACTAATGAATGATATTCACATGTAAACCGAAACTATAAAAAATTACAATGAGGTGCTTTTTCGCAATAGAGCATACTTAACCGGTTTCTTTAGGTTTCTTAAGTGAATATACAAATGGGGGAAAAGGAATGTCTTTGGAACCATAACAAGCACTTGTGAAGGTACCAGCACAACTTCAATTACAAAATACTTTGAAAACCTTATTTCAGTTTTCGTATCGATAACTGATTGTTTGCATATTAAATCATTTCTGCATCAACAATTGACATAAATACATAGGGCTGAATAAGATGAAAGGAATTGAATACTTCAAGAAGCCTGGTAAATTTTTGTTTAGATTAAGCTAGTGTAAATGCATACGTTTGTAGTTTCTTTATTTTCATCTTTAAAGCGCATAGAGATCTTATATATATATATATATATAATGCGCTCTAAAAACATGACTTTACTAATATCATTATTAGTAGTAGTTTTGATATTACCATATAATTATTTTCATTACTATTAGCATCATTATTATCATCATTATCCTCATTATTATAATCATTAGTATTATTATTAACTTCTAATGTAGAATTAACTCTCAAAATACATGCGAAATATTTCTAGTCAATGTCTATAGGAAGACATCGAAATTACTTTCAAAACATTTTCTTTTCTCTCTACCATATTCAAAGAGTTGTGAAATCTTTGTGGTGTTACAATATTGCGTGACATGCATTTTTTTAAAGCACAGTCCACCTAGCTGTTGGATATAAACATATTTAAATGTACGTCATACGAAGAAAAGAACTCCTTTGTCATCCTCATAATTGAAGAGTGGTATGCGAAATTTTCAAAAAAATGGCATGGGCAGGCAACCTTTACTAATGCACCTTTACCAATACAAGCTAGAGTTTTCTCCTCTCGTTTTTCCTTTCAAAACAAAAATGACAAAATACTTTTTTTCGCTATGACATCCGAATGGAAAAAATGCAATCAAATTGTAGTAATCCATATATTCACAGGAAAATAAAACAAACACTGTCAAATCTATGACCGGTTGCTTTGATTCATTCAAAACGGCAAGATGAAATGTAAATAAGATACTTATATTTTCTATCTGTTTATTGAAATACCAACAATCGTCAGTTACAGTCGGCTGGTACTTTACTATTGTCCAATTAAAAGATTGAACATGTGCGTATTTCTATTTTGTTCTTAAACTTCTGTGTTTTGTCATTCTTATCAATATATTTTTGTGACATAAACATGTGCAGGATTCTGTCAATCAATATAATGATATTCGCGACTGAGACCGAAAATTATTCATCTAATAAATCTGGTTTCGCACCATAATTATCCAAATTATCATCTCCATTATCACTTCCCTAGTAGCTTTTGTAAAGTGTATTGAAATTTTGTTTTTCTATTTTGAAACCAACTTTGCAAATATTTTACATCTATACACGCTGTATGCCTAGAACCAATACATACTTGGGCAATGATAGAACCAATTGTTTATACCCGAATAAAATAATCAAATGGTGAATATAAATGTATGTCTTGAAAACATCTACTCCAACTCTTCACACTGTATGATTTCCATGTAATTTATTGAATGTATGTATCTGTTTTCGTTAATTTAAAATAGATTCTCAGCGACAATATGAGGAAGTCTTGAAGAGCAGCTGCTTTTCCAATGAGTTGAACGAGAAGCTACCGACCCTGCCGGCCTAGAGCTTTAAGGTGCGGCAGGTGGGAGTATGGAACAAAAAAGCGGAACGCGCTGTACCCCTCGTTGAACCCCTTGGGACCATGGTATGGTCGCCCGATGGAGACGGGATAGATAGTGGTCCATGTATGCTTTGGTATGCGGAGAACTTGAGGAAAACGCCACAATGTATTATAGCCTAAACGGTAAGCAGAAAACAACAGGGACATATTGTATATTTTCCATAAAGATATTAATGACGAAAGATAAGGTCTTCAATGTAGGAACATTATAATTCAATAATATATGTTACACCTTAAGAGCATAATACATGTTCCTCAAATTATGTAGTTTATATTATCTTGTGTATGAATAAGATAATAAGATAAACCTATTCACAGTTTTCCCTCTTCTCAATAATAAAAGGTCTTACCAGAATGATTCAAATCAAATTAATCTCTTCTGTTTATTCATTTTTGTTTAAATGATGGCAAGTTTACCATTGACAGGAAAAATGAATCTGAAGAACTTTTTACCTAATCAGACAAGTTTGATGAAAAAAAGGTCACAGATTTTCGGAAGACCTCTTTTCTGTTCTTGCTCCATTATATACATCATATATATATATATATACACACACATGTACAAGATTACTATCTATACATTAAGCGTGTACCTATGATACGAAGCATTAATCTTTATAGAGCTGCAGAGCATACCATTTATCGAATGCGTTCCTTTAACTCAAACTTTATGCCTAGAAATGTTTCCGATCGATGATTATTGATCCTTATCGAACTCCTCTTTGCTTGGGTCGATAAGAAAAGCTGAGGACGAGAACAGACCCATGTCTTCCTCATCATCAATATTGATGACAGGAGAAAGAAAATCGTTGATTTGTTTTTATCGGTCCCTCACAAGATAGGGCCTATATAGCTAAAAGATAGAATAACTATTTCTGTGATAATGCATGGCTTTATGAGTAATCTTTTGTTCAGCATGTATCTATATTTGTTCATGTTTGGGCTGAAAGCATTGGCAAATACAGAATAATAATGAGACCGGGAAATCACCATATTGAATTCTGACATAGAATTCGAAGTAGGCATTAGAAATAACATATCCACATGATAAAAAGTTTCTTTTAACATAAAATCAACTAAATGTGCCTTATAAATTTGCCTAGTGACATGAAGATAGATTTGGAAATAACCTGAATTTATTTTGAAAATATGAAATAACTAGATATGAGTTGTGATTTCATTTTCTTTACTTATTGTCTCCTCATGATGCATCTATATGAAGGAATTTAATTAGGAGCCATGAAATTGTTCATTAAACAATATATTTAATCTATCACTTTGTAAACTGTAAATTCTGATGGACATCAATGCCCATCAATGACCTCTGCAGTACTAAAGTAGGACAAGCACATTTTATGTAAAAACAAAGTGAATCGTCTGTTTGATATGATTCATCAATAATAAATGAATGATGATCAAATTATGTTTACAATATTGTGGGCACCTGTTTTCTCAGAATTCGGCTAGGAAAGAAAGGAGATGGCGGGCCATATCTTAGGTCCACACTTCTGGTTGATTCTTCTATTCATAAATTGTTCGATTCCCTTTTCTAAAGCAAGTATTCTCTATTCATATTTATATCCTGGAACAATCTTATGTATAAAATGCATCGAATAAAATATTTTAGGAAAACAAGAAACACATTTAGAGATGAGCATGACAACGTGGTTTTAAGATAAGGATTACTTAATGTCATTCCCGGAATCTGATATTATAACAATTAATTTCGAACGTCAACGCTTATTAATTGTTCCTGCAAATCATTGCGGGGAACCTGGGAACGAAGCATTGTGGAGAAAACAATCAAACTAATTTGAGTAATCAAATATTTCACTTTGTAGTGATCTTCCCCTTTTTCGGGTTTGAGTTTAACAGTCTACAAATTGATATTTGCGAAGCATTAGGAGGAATACCGACTCAAAAACATCTCCGAGCCCCTGCCGATTCACATGGCTAAGTATCCATATCGAAAGGGAGCAAAAGGGATGAAAAGGAAAGCTATCCTTCGGAACAATGCCCGCGATGATTCTAAATCCCCAAACGATCATACCACCCTGGAAAAAAAAGAGAAGGGAAAACTAAGTTTCGACTTATCCCTCGGTTTGTTGTCGCTCACGGTGGCAGGACATCAAACGGACCGGTTGGCGCCGACGAGCTTCAAATCGATTTTCGGAGGGGGCTTTGCTCCACGACTCATAATTACTCTACCCCTTTCTCGATCCTCTTTTTCCCCTCTCTCTCTCTCTCTCTTTCTCTCTCTCTTTCTCTTTCTCTCTCTCTTTCTCTCTCTCTCTATCTCGCTATCTCTGTCCAAATTACACCTTTGCTGTTTCGATTTTAAGGGATGGTATAAGTAGTGGTATAAGGGACACTACTTGTAAATACATCCAGCACCCCTATTGCGTCACTGCGGTGCTAAGAAGATTCGCAGGGTTCATACACAGGGTGGTGGAAGAGTCTTAGGGGTAATAAGAAGGGGTGCGGTATTAGTATTACCCCTGATCCGGTCAGGAGGAATAGGTAGCTTCTTAGGAGAAACTGTAGCTAGTTGCGGTGCTCATTTTCCGTATTTTCCAACGATAATTATCATGTTGATCCTGTTTAGTAATTTGTGACAGGTAAAAGCGAAACTTCTTATCAAGTTTAAGATGGAAAAGGGTTAATTTGAAAGAAATGTCCGCATTTTTTAACGATTTATCAATACATTTTTACCACATCCTCCCCATCAACGTGCCATGTTGTTGATTGTTTTTGTCAAGGTTCGTATGATTGATATGTTTGAAAAAATCAATACGACCAATCGCGTCGATTTCTGAAGCCACAAGTATCCTCTTTAATTAGAAAAAATATAAAGAGAAGCAATAGTTGTCGAGAAACAGTTGTAATCCTGACCAAGGTGACATAAAAATGCAAGGTTAATAAAGGTTAATGTCACATACAAATGGAACATACAAATTTCTACCACTTTAGCTGTGGTGAACAAACAATATAGTTATTCTATGGTTAACGCGCATGAAGTATGTGTTTTTTTAATTATAATTGAGTAATATTTACCACGGCGTATACCACTGCCCTCGCCCCCTTCCTTAATATTATTGGTGGAAATTGAATTAGTTGGTAAGCATGTTAATCACTTGAACTCATTTTGTGCCACGCCTTAAGCCCTATATACCGTTAATTGCCTATTAATTAAAAGAGTCACACTTGCTTAAGCGAGGAATGGTATAGAAAGACCCCTTTTCTGTTTGATTTGAGAGGGAAAAAATAGTTATATATTGTTATAACCTGTACATAAAGATCGCCTGCTTATACAGTCCACGTTATTTGTCTCTTTTAATTGGTCTTTATAAAAAAAAATATATAACATTGTCTAGCATAAAACTTTTACTGAAGATCAATGTCTTTACGCTCTACTGTTCCATAGACCTACAAGATTACTAATTATCATTACAAATGCTCTCGTATCTATTTTGGGTAATATAAATATCCTATAATCTGTTCGGTGCCAGAAGGGCTTTAAGTCGTATACCTTACTACAGAGTTAACACCCATCTGACTCTGACCATGCAGACGACATTTTCTAACATTATTGAATGATTAACTTGTCCAGGTTTCTCGAAAAAATGGGGGAAATTATGTTCTCGACCATAGTTACGGAGCCTAGGCCATAAATGATGGTTCAATGGTCAAAATGGCTTTAAAAAATCCCTGAGCTTTCTGTTAAGTAATATTAATTGCCTGTTTTTCAGGTAATTTATAGGATAAATCATGACCCTCTTTTTATTTTGTTTTCCTCCAAACCGCCATGACCCACGCATTATACTAAATTATATCGTTCCGGGTCAGTTGATTTGAATCATCTCAGTGCATAGATGGTCATCACCGAATTCATAACCCCGAGTTTTGTTTACTGTTGTTTTTTGTCCTAGATCTTTATATTCCCATGTCTATTCTGTTGTACGGCATATATCGTACGACACATTCTCCGAAGGCAAATGCTCTACAATCATTACCCTCCACACATTGTACCTTCTTACGTCACCTCAACGATTCCACACCGACCACTATTTGGCCATGGAGTTAAGTAATTTCTTATTCTTATGTGGTCTATAGTCGGTCAGTCTTGTCGACGTGATTGTAGTTTTAATATTACATTCTTACACGAACAGAACCAACAACATACCAAAAACAGACCGAACAGAATACGACACTTCCACGAATGGCCAAGAATTAGTCGTTTGGCAGTCGATGTGGAGTCGTTTCGGCAGTGTGACTGAGGTATAACAGAAGTCTTGACTTCAACCCTAGACCATGGACCTACTAGACATAGTAGGTCCATGCCTAGACCAAACGCTATACTTCACCCTATATCCAAGAATATGAAGCCCCTAGTAATTGTCGTCAGAGCAAATGTCGGATCACGGATCTATGCTAATATGTGCGCATAGTGTTGATGTCGCGTGTTAGTTTGTCACTAATAACCGAAAGTTACCATATGAAGAAGAAAAAACGTTATTATAAGGGCGGTAAGATAAGAAATTGAATTAGTGAGGTAAAACCTTTTCTTGTTGTCATCATAAGTTGCATTCAATTGATTATAAAAATAATGAATACTTATAAAGTGCACTTATCTAATAACTTTCTCAAGGCGCTTTACAAAACAAAAAGCACGAATCTTTCTAAAAACATTGTAGCATTAGAAGCTCTGAGTAAATAAAAGTTTGTTAACCTGTTTCTGAAAGGTTTCTAGGCATCGAATGTTTCGAATGTCACTTGGTAGCTTGCTCCAGAGGACTGGTGCATAATACACAAATGTACGATCACCATAATGGATGGGTCGGGTTCTGGGGACTTCTGGGACGGTAGGGGTAGATGAACGGAGTGATTAATGGGATTGCTTTATGGTGAGGAGGTCTTTCAGGTACTCAGGTGCTCCGGTCCTATTCAAGAATAGGACCTTTCTGATGTGGAATCATCATTCCTCTGCGAATTGCATAACCGGAGATAGTGTCCATTACTAAATGACATGTGGTTCATGTTGAGATAATTGTGTATTCTAAAGATTATCATTCCTTTTCCGAAAAGATTTTCAATTTGGTTGAACGATCAAGTTGCCAAACTCG